GTTGTGAGGAGGGACCGATCCTTGGAGAAGGACATCATGCTTGGGAGGGTGGAGGGACGGCGCAGGAGGGGAAGGCCCTCTATGAGGTGGATTGATTCCGTGACTGGGATAATCGGGATGGGAGTGTCAGGGAGTGCGATTGGCACAGGGCAGAGCGGAGTTTAGGGCTGTTGTACATAGGGTCGCTATGAGTCGCAAGCGACTCGACAGCACATAACAACAACAACATAGTTATCTCTTTAGTTATAAGTTCTCAATTCTATTCCATTTGTCTCTGTGACTGTTGTTTTTAGTTGCCATTACTTCAGCTTGGACTCATAACATCCCTGTGAACAGCAGATTGTGGGTCATTCTCATCTGTCATGCCCAAACTCTCGGTGGTCGTCACTGTGTCAGCCCATCTTGTTGAAGGTCTTCTCTTTATCTCACTTCCCATCTTTCCTATCATGATGGATAGTAGAATTTGCTTTTCCTTGTAGGAAAAGAGACTCGAATTGCTCATCTGTTTTAAGTAAGCATATGTTTCAGTGGTATTTTTATGTCAGATATGTTTTTTATACAATGACTCACTATTTTATCATTTTGGGCGAGAGAATGATGTTGACTTTCATTTAGACTAGTTTTCTACAGATCTCTTACTGGTATTTAATAGTCATAATCAGTTGAGTTCTTAGGATGCTTAAAGTATTATGCTAGGTTGTGGGGATTTTTTGGCAAGAAAATATAAGATACTGTCTTTGTCTTCAGACTGTTTACCATTTGAGTAGGGTGACAAGGGATGATGTGAATTTAAAAGAGATGTTGTTATTTAGGGTCTGAAAGGGTTGAGTGCCTCCTAAGTATAAAATACTACTCCAGTTTAGGGCTAAAGAATAATTATAAAAATACCATGGAATCTTATGTCAAAACTATTTGCTGTTATTTTAATTCGGAAACCCTAGAGGTGAGTCGTGAAAATAGTTGTAAATGGAAAGGCAAGTTGCAAAGGTAATAATTTAGCATATCAAATGAAATGAAATTTTTAGGAACAGTATTAGCAGATTGTTCTGCATTTCCTCCGTGATTTGCTTTATATCTTCAAAGATGTTAAGGACTTAAAAGCCAGATAAGATTAAGTTTTCCGAGAGGAGAAACTGTATGGAGTGCAGGATGTGATGCACCTTTCTTCTGCTTATATATATCATTCAACACAAAATCATGGTATTATCAGACTCTTATAGTTTGTGTGTGCTTTTCCTCTTGTGATAAACCTTTCATACCTAATGAGTCCGCCTTCAGAGGCAAAAAGAAGACATAGGATTGAATTAAATATCTTTTTTACAGGATAGATACTTGTTACTTTTTCAGTCAGTTGAGTAATGAGAGATATACCAATTTGGTAACAATTTAGACTTCTGGTTTTATTCAGCAGTTTGGCAAGTGGGAACCTCAATCAGAAATGGGGCCCGAGGTGTACATGAATAGGGAATGAATCATTGTCAATTCAGTACCATTTCTGTAAGCATTTTAAGCACAGGTCATTTTGACATATCTGTATGTTGTATTTTAGCACTAAAGATAACTTGTTGAACATAGGTAAAAAACTGCTTATTAGTGAAAATGCAGACTTCAGACTTTATAAAGTTGTACAAACATCTTAAGGTAGTGTGAATATATTAAATATTTGAGTAATTTTTTTTTAGCTATCAACCCATCGTTGACTACATAGATGCTCAGTTTGAGGCCTATCTCCAAGAAGAACTGAAGATCAAACGGTCTCTGTACAACTATCATGACTCTCGCATCCATGTGTGCCTTTACTTCATTTCCCCTACTGGTCACTCTCTGAAGACACTTGATCTCTTAACCATGAAGAACCTTGACAGTAAGGTGAGTTTGATGGCAAAGAAATCATCTTTTAAGTTTATTATGAATTATTAATACATCTTTAATGTATATATTTCTCTGTATTTTAAAACATTTATTGTTCAGAGTTAGTTTATTTGGAATTCATTTAGAAAATGATGTATAAAGAAGAAACATTAAAATAAAATCTTAATTCCTTTTTAATGATTGAATTATATGCCAGAACATGGACATTCATCTACCTTTTTATAAAGAATTTAAATGAATTTTACTTCATAACACTATTACATAAGAAGAACTTCATTTAAAAAGATTACTTATATTATTGTTTGGAGGGGCTAGGTTTGAGCCAGGAAACAATATAGAATTTCAAAGAATTATAAAAACTATCTACAGATTAATGATTTTAGTAATCTTTTTTAATTTTTTAAAAGACAAAAAATGTAAACTCCTGGATACTAATTATATGCGATTGGATTCAGAATGTAAGGACATTCTGGCTGCTGCTACTATTTATAGAATTAGATAGGAAAAACATAAAGGCCTTCTAGTGAAACTTTTATACATTAAAGGTAGATTAATTTTTTTTACTTAACTGATTTCGTTAGCATAATCATGAAGGAATGTATCTGATAATTCATTCATCTAATTGATGTTCTAACCCTCTAGGTAATAGTTTAATTTCATTATGTGTAAATTAATATTTATTAAAGGAATATGAAAGTAGACATTTTCTTAGCCAGACAGAAAAGACCAAAATATAATGTCTATAAATATAATAGAATTTGACATCAGTACGAACTGATATTACATACAGGTTTCCTCAACCCTCTGAACTAAATAAAGTCTTTCAACCTTTAAATTAAAAACATAGGAAATGACCCCCTAAAGGATACATTTGAAAAGTAATTAAAATGATCCTTGTAAAAAGATACAGCACAATACCTGACAAATAAATATACCTAGTCAAAAGTGGTGGTTGTTGTGTGCCATCAAGTTGGAACTGACCCGTAGCTGACCCTTCAGCAGGTTTTCAGAGGCAGCAAATCACATGGGAAGATATTACCCATTAGCATTACTTGTGGAGATTAATTGTGAAAAATGTGCAATATGTAAACATGCACAGTCCTCTGCTTAATAGCCAGCATATAACTCCAGGTAGTTGTTGACTTACATGGGATTCCATTCCAATGGCTCTGTTGCTAGTCAGTTCTGACATAAGTTAAATACCATTTTTAAAGTTTAATTATTATTATTAAATTTGATTATCAATATCTTTATTAGGAAGCTCTGCCAATCTTTATCTGAGAAACAATACATGAAATCTATACAATGCAATTGAACAATACATTGAAATTTTGACAATAATTGAAATCAATACATTGAAAATCTGAGAATACATTGAAAAATTATACACTGTTAAAAAATTGTTAAAATTATACATTGTTATTATATACCTTTGAATTGGAATTGACCTCTTAACAGCACAATTCCTTACCACTAGGCCACTAGAGCTCTATTTGGTACATATCACTAACAATAAGATGTGTAGGGGGATAATCTACATATGATAATCTGGTGTATGGTATATAACAAAGTTTGATTTATTACTCTGTATGTATAAAATAGATTTTCTCTAGTACTCTCCAGAATAAGTGATTGATTGTGGAGGGTTTACAGGGATGGAGGGGGATGAGAATAAACAGAGGTTAACAAATGGGTGGTTAGGGAGAAAGGAGAAGGATGTACAGTGAGAATTTGAGAAGATGTTTTAAATAGTGCCGTTAAACATTTGTAATGTTATAGAACAAAATGTGTATGAGTGATTGAAAACCAATAAGAAGATACTCTCTATTGTTTATGATAAAATAAAAACTACCTAGGTAAAATTTTCCTCATGTTTTTTTGCTTAAGAATGTTGTTTGAAATTTAGTTGAGGCCTGTTTGGCTGAATTCCCTAGAATAAAAGAAACAAAATGCGGGGGTTGATAGCATGGCTGTGTGTTAAAACACCTGGATTAAAATTCCAAGTTCAAAGCCATATTAAGATTTATAAGCTGTTATGAACAGGAACAAAATGACCTAAGCTTTACTTTCTTTATTTGTAAATTGTTGATAAGTCAGACTTCTGTGAAGATTGTTGTTGTTGTGTGCTGTCAAGTCATTTGCGACTCATAGCGACCCTATGTACAACAGCCCTAAACCCTGCTCTATCCTGTGCCAATCGCATGGCCTCTGACACAACCATCCCGATTACCCCAGTCACTGAATCAATCTACCTCATAGAGGGTCTTCCCCTCCTGCGCTGTCTTTCTACCCTACCAAGCATGATGTCCCTCTCCAAGGACCTGTCTCTCCTTACAACATGTCCAAAGTATGTCAGACGAAGCCCCAGGATCCTTGCCTCCAAGGAGCAGCCTGGTTTAACCCTCTCTAGGGTGGATCTGTTTGTTTTCTTGGCAGTCCATGTTACATTCAATACTCTTCTCCAGCACCACGGCTCAAAGATGCCAATTCTCCTTCTTATCCTCCCTAGTCATTGTCCAACTCTCTGATGCATAACAAGTGATTGCAAAGACCATGGCCTGTATCAGGTGCACCTTAGTCTCCAGAGAGACACCATTGCTCTTGAGTACTTTAGAGAGGTTCCTAACCGCAGACTTTCCCATTGCAATGCGTTTTTTTAATTTCCTGGCTGCTGGTGCCAAGATTAGCTGAGATAAATTACAAAGCACTCAGTACAGTGCCAGCACTTAGTAGGCACCAATGGGTGTAACTTGTTTCTTTATTTCAAAATTACTTTCTAATTAATAAGCAATCTTACTCTGAATATGTATGTGTTGATATTTTAGTTATTGACCTATACAACAACCTTTTCATTAGTCAGTCTTTGAAACCAGCAATTCAGAAGTAATTTATATCAAGGTAGATTTTATGAAATAAGCAGAAGAGATAAGAGGTACCTATTCACTGCTTATCTTTGAACAAGCATTAAACCTATCTGCTATCAGCTCTAATAATAATGACTCTAGATGGAGATCATGCTCTATCACTAGACTTCTCATAGTAGATAATATTTTCTTAGTTCATTCAAATTGAAATGTTTCATGTTGACAGTAAAAGATCATTAGTGTTGTGTTCTTATCTAAAGTGTGTCATGCTCTTTTCTGCTTTATTCTATTGGTGGGACTCCTTTATTACAGATATCTTGTCTTTTTTTTGTACATACTACAAAGGGATATTACACATAAAAACATAGGCTTTATTACCTATCTAATGAAATTTAGAACAGAACAGAGCAAGGGAACACTGCATGGTTCAAAATTGGGAAGGGCGTATGCCAGGGATGCATCCTATCTCCATACCTTTTCAACCTATATGCAG